TATGAGCAGCGCGGCAGCCTGACGGCAGTATGGTTCTGAGCGCCTGCGGTGGTTCTCTATTTATAGAGCGGAAGCCAACAGCGGTTGCCAGAGCATTTGGCGCTCTTTCATTTTATTAAGCTTTGCCGGCGCCAATGTTTGAATCGCCGCGCGCGCAGATCATGCAGTCGAGCGTGGGCTTGATCATGGCAACGACCAGACATGACCGTGTTTTGACTCGGTCACGGCATGCAGAGGATATAGGAGGCCTAATTACGGCGCCTTTGACTCCGTTTGAATATGGCAAGCGCGCTCAGGAGCTCCCTCTTTGCCTTGCAACTGGCACTTGGATCATTTGTATATTCTTTAACTGAAGTGATTAATGAGAACAGGAAATAGCTTATTTTCTGGCCGGCGTGCACGTACGTGCTATACGCTAGCTGTGTATGTACCACACACTTACGTGGCATGACCATGTTTTGATTGATTAATCCATGTATATGCATGCGCGCATTTGTTACGTGACTGACATAGAGAGCGTGCCCCTTTTTTTATAAGCTTAGCGGATCAAAATTATGTTCAGCTAATGTAAGTCGCCATGCATGGGCAGGTTCATATATATTTTTGTGTTCCATCCTTGTTTTCTTTCTCCTTTTATATAACCACCATGTCTTTTAACTTATATGTAGGAAACACATGTGCATACGCCTTCCACTCATGTATTCTTGAGTGTACTAAATTTCATAGCCAATATCATTTATCTTATTATTCATTCCTTATTTATATGGAATTTGGCCATATATGTTATTTACATTTATTTAAAACAAATATTGCACATATTATAGGTGAGCCAAAAATCGAGTCAACAAGCCTCAAATCAACGTTGACCATGACTCTGATACCACTTGAAAGGTCCTAAATAGCTAAAGAGGTACAAAATACTAGAGCAAGTGATTAGTATAACAAATGGCGATAAAAGATTTTTGTTGTCGCTCTAATAGGGTTGTAAGCCACCTATCCAGAATTCTAGTCAAGTATGACCTCTAGGCACACAAGAGCTATGTCACTAGCTATTCTCTAAACTAGTGAGCTAGCAAGAACTAATTAGTTCTACCAAGAAAACTAGCTAGCCAACTATTTCTACACTACACAAGAGAGCTAGACTACTCAAACTACCACTACTCAAGATAAGTATGAATGTAATTACAAGAGAGGTGCATACCGAATGTGGCAAGTGATAAGCAATCAATAATGAATACCAAGACAAAACCAAGGAGACAATTGACACATAATTTTTCTCCCGAGGTTCATGTGCTTGCCGGCACACTAGTCCCCATTGTAAAGGCCGATTCACTTGGTTGTTCGCGACCTAATAGGCACCACGCCTAGCCCAACACTTGAGCGCAACAAGAACCTACACAAGATGAGGGCACTCAACTTCACGAGCAATTTACTAGAGTGGTTTTTGACGCTCCATCGGGGAATAAACCCAAGAACCCCTCACAAATCACCGAGAGATGGCCACGAACAATCACCAACTCATACCAAAGCTCCTTTGCTGCTCCAAGCCGTCTAGGTGGAGGCAACCACCAAGAGTAACAAACAATCACATAGCTCACACGATCACTAGTGCCACTAGATGCTCAAACTCTAAGCAAATGCACTAGAATCACTCCCAATCTCACTCGGATGATGAATCAATAAAGGAGATGAGTGGGAGGTGTTTGGCTTAGCTCACAAGGATGTATCAATGATCAAAATGTCCAAGAGAGTGAGCCCAAGCTGACCAACATCTATTTATAGAGCCCACAAGTCACACATACCCATTGGCTCTCTTATTGAGTTGTCTGCGCACTGTCCGGACGCACTGGTGCTGATCGGACGCGTCCGGTCACCAGCGTCCGGTCCACCTCGGACAGGCAAGTGTCCCGACCGTTTGAATGTATCCATTGGTGCCCAACGGCTAAGTCTGCGCGCGATCGTACTCCGCGTCCGGTCAATTGACTGGACTTGCTCGCTCCTAGCGTCCAGATTGTAACACAGAGGTTCCAGAGAGGGATTTTGCCGACCGGACACGTCCGGTCACCCTCTGACCATGTTGTTAGTCTGTGAATATTGCGAGCAGCCCGACCGGTCACTGTTTCACTCAGCATCCAGTCCGGCCAGCTTGCCTGGCTACGCTTAGGTTAAGGTACCGGACGTGTCCGGTCCCTTCAGAGCCAGCGTCCGGTCACACTCAGTGACCTTCTTCTCTTCTATGTTTCATCCCTTGTGCAAATGTATTAACTCCACCAAGTTTCCAACACTTGTGTACGTGAGTTAGCATTTCACAAACATGTTTTTCAAGGGATGTTAACACTTACTAGTTCCTAATGAAAATGTATGGAGTTAATTCACCTAGTGACACTTAGATAACCACATTAACCGTGAGATCACCCTCTTAATAGTATGGCTATCTATCCTAAACTCAATCACACCCTTTATGGTGTCTTGATTGGTAAAACAAAAATCCTATCAATACCTTTGCTTTGATCTTCATTGGATTTTTGTTTTTCTCTTACCTCTTTTCCAAGTTCGAACACTTGATCTTCACTTTGTCTATCTCCATCACCATAGACATCATTTTGCTTCATCACTTGGACACTCATCCATCACTTGTTCAAAGGGTTAGTCCAAATAGGTTTCATCAATTAGCCAAAACTAAAGTAGGGCTTTCACCAGGCCAGGCCAGTCCGTTGGACATCTATAGGCGTGGCCTAGATGGTTAGGCATGCTGTAGTTTATTTCCGATGCCAAAGATAGCCAAAAGTTCGACAGTGTTTTTGTTGGCTGAACTTTTGGCAAGGTCAGAACTTAGGTGCGGCATGCTCTTGTCGCAAACCAAACGCGTCCTATATGTATGCTATGACAAGGCAAAAAAGGTAGCATGGTTGTGGTGAATTTGATGATAAAGCCATGGAAGGAACTCGTGAAGCGTACAAAGGAGTCGAACATTTTGGTGGCCTCCACATCTCCTTCCCTGCGGCGTCCTGCGTGGTCATCTTCTCCTGGGAGGACCTTGGCGTCGAGCACATGCATGAGCTGCCCGAACACCTTTGTGTGTCATGACCCTAGCCCCATGCGAGGCAAGCCGTGTCGACATCCTCGCTCGCCTCTGCTGCCTTGTGCACATCGTCTCACCTCGTTCCGATGCCACCAAATATGAGCAAAGAAACAGCTATAGTCTAGATGGAATATCTAACAGAGGATACCTTGATTTGATTCAGGAGCATGGGAATCGATTTGTGGCATTTTGCTCTTCCTCTTTACTTCAGGAGAAATGAGCGTAGGAGGGGATTTTTCCCTAGCATGAAGGGAACGGATGATGGAGAAGAAGATGGGTACTTTGCTGCACTTGTTGACCCTAGGTTTCTATATAACACTAATTTCCATGACATCTAGTGACAACAAAGAACATGAACGGATAATGCATTAATTTGTGAACAAGTAGATATAGGATTGAACGGTAGAGGAGTAGACGAGCTACTGCGCTGGTATTTAAACTGGCTCATATTTGATGTCATGGTGTCAAGCAATTATAAGCAACAAAATACTAAACGCCCATGTGTTCCGGTAAATAGGATTTTCCAATGTTCAACAAGGCGCTACTAGGCGCTCGCCTAGGCGCGCTTACGCGCTAGGCGGAGGGGTGCCGCCTTGCCTAAGGGGGTAGGCGGAAGAAAGGCGGTCTGACCGCAGATCCAGAGCGATAGAGGTGGCGAGCGCAGCTTGGAGGAGGCTAGCGGCTGGGTACGGCCGGGAGGCAAGGCCTTTAGTCCGTGGCAAGGAGTCGGGGACGTTGCGCGGCAGTGGTAGCCGTGGTAGAGGAGGCGGAGAAGCAGGGACGGGGGCGGCGGCGGGTGCGAGCGACGCGGAGGAGGCGGGGACGGGGGCGGCGACCAGAGCGGAGGAGGCAGGGACACGGGCAGCAAGCAGCGCGGAGGACGGGAGAGGCAGGGATGGAGGCGGCGGGCACCGCGGCCAGTCGTGCGGTGGATGATACGAAGGGGTACGAAGGGATAGGGTGGGGGATGAAGTTTGAGATAAGGCTTGCTGCTCAGATATGGGCTTAGGCTGCTTTATGGGCCTTTCTATACAACTCTTGGCCCACAAGTGTCATATTTTTTTTTCTTTTCTTATAGACTTTTACAGGTAAAATATGAATGGATATAGAACGCCTAGAAAAACACCTTGAAATGCCTAGGCTAGCCTAGGCTCGACTAGGCTCTAGGCTATGGATCAGCGTCTAAAAACCGCCTAGCGCCTTCTTGAACTTTGGGATTTTCCATTTTGGCTCTCATCCTAGCCTAGCCCTTGGCCACACCTCGCGCCCATATCTCTCCTTCACCGCAACCTCTGCACTACGGGGGCGTTTGATCCAGTGACTAAAGTTTAGGATGTGTCACATGGGGGTATCGCATGAGGTGTTCGGATACTAATAAAAAAACAAATTACAGAATCCGTCCGTAATCCGCGAGACGAATTTATTAAACCTAATTAATCTGTCATTAGCACATATTTACTATAGCACCACATTGTCAAATCATGGACTAATTATGCTTAAAAATTGTCTGCAAAACAGTCTCAATCTGTATTTAATTTTGTAAATAGTCTATATTTAATACTTCATATATATATATATATATATACAAATATTCGATGGGACAGCGACTAAACACCCCTCAATCCGGCTAGTTGAGCGCGGCTCTCAGCTCCTTTTTATAGACAGCTTGTCTCCCATGCACGAGACTATAGGTCTCCCCCGCAACGACCACCGCACGACGGCCACCCCCCGTCTCCTCCTCATATTCTTCCGCCTCTCGCCTCCATACTTGGTTTGCAAACCATCGCACGCATGCAGCTGGGCGTGGACGGTAGCACGCTCGCGTGGCGGGCGCCGTGCGAGTGAATGATCGAGTGATCGAGCCATGGGCACGTGCACGTAACAAGCAAGCAAGCCAGCGAGTGAACAAGGACGGAAGATGTCAAACCCGCCGCAGAAGAAGGCGATCCGTAACCCCGGCGCCGGAGCCGGCGGGCCGGCGGGGAACACGGTGAAGTTCGCGCGGCGGACGGCGAGCGGGCGGTACGTGAGCCTGTCCCGGGAGGACATCGACATGGAGGGCGAGCTGGCGGCGGACTACACCAACTACACGGTGCAGATCCCGCCCACGCCCGACAACCAGCCGATGATGGACCAGGCGTCCGTGGCCATGAAGGCCGAGGAGCAGTACGTCTCCAACTCGCTCTTCACCGGCGGGTTCAACAGCGTCACGCGCGCCCACCTCATGGACAAGGTCATCGAGTCCGAGGTGACGCACCCGCAGATGGCCGGCTCCAGGGGCTCCCGCTGCGCCATGCCCGCTTGCGACGGCAAGGTCATGCGCAACGAGCGCGGCGAGGACATCGACCCCTGCGAGTGCAGGTTCAAGATCTGCCGCGACTGCTACCTGGACGCGCAGAAGGACGGCTGCATCTGCCCGGGGTGCAAGGAGCACTACAAGATCGGCGAGTACGCCGAGGACGACCCCAACGACGCGTCGTTAGGGAAGCACTACCTGCCGGGGCCCGGCGGCGGCATGATGAACAACAGCAAGTCCCTGCTGGCGCGGAACCAGAACGGCGAGTTCGACCACAACCGGTGGCTCTTCGAGAGCTCTGGAACCTACGGCTACGGCAACGCCTTCTGGCCCAAGGGCGGCATGTACGACGACGACCTGGACGACGAGGGCAGCCCCGGCGGCGGCGGGGGCGGCGACGGCATGCTCCCCGAGCAGAAGCCGTTCAAGCCGCTGACCCGCAAGATACCCATGCCGACGTCCATCATCAGCCCCTACCGGATCTTCATCGTCATCCGGATGTTCGTGCTCCTCTTCTACCTCACGTGGCGCGTCCGCAACCCCAACATGGAGGCGCTCTGGCTCTGGGGCATGTCCATCGTGTGCGAGATCTGGTTCGCCTTCTCCTGGCTGCTGGACATGCTCCCCAAGGTGAACCCCGTGAACCGGAGCACGGACCTCGCCGTGCTCAAGGAGAAGTTCGAGACGCCGTCGCCGTCCAACCCGCACGGCCGCTCCGACCTGCCGGGGCTGGACGTGTTCGTGTCCACGGCCGACCCGGAGAAGGAGCCCGTGCTCACCACGGCCACCACCATCCTGTCCATCCTGGCCGCGGACTACCCGGTGGAGAAGCTGGCGTGCTACGTGTCTGACGACGGCGGCGCGCTGCTCACCTTCGAGGCCATGGCGGAGGCGGCCAGCTTCGCCAACATCTGGGTGCCCTTCTGCAAGAAGCACGACATCGAGCCCCGCCAGCCGGACAGCTACTTCAGCATCAAGGGCGACCCGACCAAGGGCAAGCGGCGGTCGGACTTCGTCAAGGACCGGCGCAAGGTGAAGCGGGAGTTCGACGAGTTCAAGGTGCGCATCAACGGCCTGCCGGACTCCATCCGCCGGCGCTCCGACGCCTTCAACGCCCGCGAGGACATGAAGATGCTCAAGCACCTCCGCGAGACCGGCGCCGACCCGGCCGAGCAGCCCAAGGTGAAGAAGGCGACGTGGATGGCGGACGGCACGCACTGGCCGGGGACCTGGGCCGTGTCGGCGCCGGACCACGCAAAGGGAAACCACGCCGGCATCCTACAGGCACTGCTGCTGTTTGCATTGACTGATTGATTGATTCTCGCCCTAGCCTACACACACACGTCACCACAATTGGCAATTGGCAGGTGATGTAATGTATGCATGGCAATTGACAATCTGCAGGTGATGCTGAAGCCTCCTTCTCCCGACCCACTGTACGGGATGCACGACGACGAGCAGCTGATCGACTTCAGCGACGTGGACATCCGTCTCCCGATGCTGGTGTACATGTCCCGCGAGAAGCGTCCCGGCTACGACCACAACAAGAAGGCCGGCGCCATGAACGCCCTGGTGCGCTGCTCCGCCGTGATGTCCAACGGGCCCTTCATCCTCAACTTCGACTGCGACCACTACATCAACAACGCGCAGGCTATCCGCGAGGCCATGTGCTTCGTGATGGACCGCGGCGGCGAGCGCATCGCCTACATCCAGTTCCCGCAGCGCTTCGAGGGCATCGACCCCTCCGACCGCTACGCCAACAACAACACCGTCTTCTTCGACGGCAACATGCGCGCGCTGGACGGCCTGCAGGGCCCCATGTACGTCGGCACGGGCTGCATGTTCCGCCGCTTCGCGCTCTACGGCTTCGACCCGCCGCGCACCACCGAGTACACCGGCTTGCTCTTCAAGAAGAAGAAGGTGACGCTCAGCAAGGTGGCGGACCCGGCGGGCGAGACGGACACGCAGTCGCTCAACCACAAGCAGGGGCAGGGTGGGGCGGTGGACTTCGACGCCGAGCTCACGTCGATGATTGTGCCCAGGCGGTTCGGCAACTCGTCGGCGCTGATGGCGTCCATCCCCGTGGCCGAGTTCCAGGCGCGGCCGCTGGCGGACCACCCGGCCGTGCAGCACGGGCGTCCCCCCGGGTCGCTGACGGTGCCCCGGCCGCCGCTGGACCCGCCGACCGTGGCGGAGGCCGTGTCCGTCATCTCCTGCTGGTACGAGGACAAGACGGAGTGGGGGGACCGCGTGGGCTGGATCTACGGCTCCGTGACGGAGGACGTGGTGAGCGGCTACCGCATGCACAACCGCGGGTGGCGCTCCGTCTACTGCATCCCCAAGCGCGACGCGTTCCTGGGCACGGCGCCCATCAACATGACGGACCGCCTCCACCAGGTGCTGCGCTGGGCCACCGGCTCCGTGGAGATCTTCTTCTCCCGGAACAACGCCTTCCTGGCGTCGCGGAGGCTCATGTTCCTGCAGCGGGTGGCCTACCTCAACGTCGGCATCTACCCCTTCACCTCCATCTTCCTGCTGGTCTACTGCTTCATCCCGGCGCTGTCCCTCTTCTCGGGCTTCTTCATCGTGCAGACGCTCAACGTCGCCTTCCTCTGCTACCTGCTCACCATCACCATCACCCTCATCGCGCTGGGCATCCTCGAGGTCAAGTGGTCCGGCATCGAGCTCGAGGACTGGTGGCGCAACGAGCAGTTCTGGCTCATCTCCGGAACGAGCGCGCACCTGTACGCCGTGGTGCAGGGGCTGCTCAAGGTCATGGCCGGCATCGAGATCTCCTTCACCCTCACGGCCAAGGCGGCGGCGGAAGACAACGAGGACATCTACGCCGACCTCTACGTGGTGAAGTGGTCCTCGCTGCTCATCCCGCCCATCACCATCGGCATGATCAACCTCATCGCCATCGCCTTCGCCTTCGCGCGCACCGTCTACAGCGACAACCCGCGCTGGGGCAAGTTCATCGGCGGCGGCTTCTTCAGCTTCTGGGTGCTGGCGCACCTCTACCCCTTCGCCAAGGGGCTCATGGGCCGCCGCGGCAAGACACCCACCATCGTCTTCGTTTGGTCGGGACTCATCTCCATCACCATCTCCCTGCTCTGGGTCGCCATCAGCCCGCCGGAGGCCAGCGCCGGCGGCCGCAGCGCTGGCTTCCAGTTCCCTTGATGATGACATCGATCGGTCGGCTAGCTTTTATTTAATTCGTCAGATGCCAGTTCCGTTCCGTTCCTGATGACGTGTACGTGTCACATCGATCAGTGGTGCTGCACGTGCGATAGGTGAGCAAAGTAGAGTGTGCCAATCTTCTTGTGTTGAGTTTCGACTACTTGTTCTCTGGTAGGGTTAATCGTCGATCAGCGTCGTTTCTACAGACAAATGGAATTGTTCAGCTCAAACTGAAATGAAGAACGGATCCAAGATGTATTCATATAAACTTTATTAAGCAGCTGTTTTCCTTCTTTTTCGTTATATAAGCAGTTCGTCTGTGTTCATGACTTTGTGCTGTTTGCATGATCTTCAATGGAATTCTCCAAGTTTCCAAAAAAAAAACATTTACTTCATTTGTCGTATAAAAGTATTTAGTAGTCCTAAAACTAGTCCAGTGGTGTCATCTTTGGCCCGTAGACTAAATTTGCAATATCCGGGTACCTAGCTAGACTTACTAAGTAGTTCACTGGAGATTTAAACCTATCTAATTAGTGTTGATTTGTTTACTTTAACATCTATGTGGCGTCCATGCCACTAAATTTTTACAATTTTATCATTCACCAGGTTCGTGTCCGTGCGTTGCTACAGGATAGCTAACATTTTATACTAAAAGCACACAGATCGCACGATAAGATAACAATATTGTAAAATTAAATATCAATGTTAAAGTAACATTTAATTCAAAAAGAAAAATTTGTGAAATTAACACAATCATGTAGAGCGTGGCATCCCCTATTGTATAGACCTTTCCGTGATGCGGCTAAGATAATGTTTTATATAGGTAGAAACAATCTCCGATATCCATTTCTTTCATGTACCAATAAATGCACGAATAAGTTCCGCCGCATCTCCATACCATCATGTACACATGTTAGAGTATATATGTAAATATTAGTGCCCACCGCATGGGTAATAATGTGTGTCTTGAAAAATCTCTCTCAAAACCTTAAAACAAAGTATGTTGTACTCACCGTATAAATATGTGTGACTATCTATTCCACGCAGACATATACTGTAGAATAAGGTATCTACTTAAGTGTTTGTGTCAAGATTCAGAATCAGCAATATATAGAAATAGTTAAATCATATATATTATTATTATAAGTGACGATGACTCTAAGTTAGTTGAGTGCCCGTGCGTTGCAACGGGACAAATAATACCGCCAAAAGTCTGGTAGCATCCAAAATCAAGATGTGACAAATCTATTTTGCATGTCCCAAATTTAACAGCTTGTCCCAAAATTCATTTGACCTCCAAACAAAACATGTTGGTTGTCAAACGGATTCGTTTCGACAAGATCTACATAACCATGGTCCCTGATCATCCATACGACTTATGGTTCAAAAAGTTATTTTTTTCTTCTCTTTACTCTACTCAGCCAGCATATTATTTTTTTTATAAATTCTAGGGTATTACAGCGCCAAATTAAGAAAAAACTGATTTAGGCATTCAGAACTAATGCCAAGATGATACATGTTTTGTGCCTGATACAGTCCACATTAAACTACCAGATAGTACATAGAATCTCAGTCCGGACCAGGCAATATTTTTTTCTACCATCGGTCTACTTTATTTTCCTCAAGTTCAGAGGAAACAAATTATTTCCATAGCCTGCAAATATTATATGTTAGGACTTCAATTTATTTTTATCATTCATGTTATTTTCCAAACAAAAAAAGTTGTAGTAGATGCAAGTCATATTATGTAAACATATAGTCACAAACCATTTTCTATTAGAATATCACGGTTATCACCCCAACGTCCAACATATCACCCCGACACTCGATTGCTTTTTTCAATCTATAAATTGTATACTTATATTGAGCAAATTAATTCTATAACAGGATGTGCCATCAAAATGTCAGAATGGGATCCGTGGCAACTGATGCATAGGACAAAAAGAATACCTAGACAATTTCACAAGCAGTACACGAGGCAAACAGGCCTGGAGGCATCTGGGAGGAAGAACGGACCATCTCCCCCCTTCACTGGGCACGAGGCACCATTCATAGTTTGAGATTTCGGAGGCCTTTGCATTGCTCCATCGGTAATCCACCATTACACTTCAAGACCTCCATATGATCAATCCGCCTGTGCGCCGCTGATCAATACACTATAAAGGCAAATACAACAAAATTTCAAGTACAGTAATATACTGTGACCGCTGGTAGAGAAAATTTAAATTAGCTATTTTTAACGCTCTTCTAAAACAGTAACAAAGATGGTCAAATGACCCAAGGACCATCTATTGTATCCGACAACGAAACTTCTTCTGAACCACCCGTGTGCCTTCTACCTTGAACCCGACCAGGAAGATGAACAGTACAGTTTCACCGGATCATGAACAGTAGGGAGGGAACACCTGGATTGAAACATAGGCGGTGCATGATCCATTGATGTTGCCTCTCCACTATAGCGGCGAGGAGGAAGTCAAGCCCGGCGGCGTTGAGGACGAGCAAGCGGGTTGGTGCGAACAAGGCGACGGTGACAGGCGTGACGGCGTGTGCGACAGGCAACGTCGAGGACGAGTGGCGAGGAGGTGAGGGCAGTGCGCAAGGGCAAGTGCGAGGGCACTGCGCACGAGGGTGAGGACGTGCGGTGTGCATAGGGAGGACGGTTGCTTAACTGGCAGTGCGAGATGATCGTCGCGTGATATAATCCTTGCATGATTCCTGAGGACGCTTATGACAGGATTGACCGGATCAATCAATCAATCAATCAAAATAGTAGTTTCCTTCTTGATCTTGCATGCACACGATTGGCTCACTCGCATGCAAGGTAATGAACTTCGGTTCTTTTGCATGAGATCTTGCCCGTGATTGTCGCGCGACGAAGGGAGACTGGATCGCAAGGAGGCTGACCGACGAGGCAAGGCTGCAGGAACGCAGCAGGCGGGACTATTGGCCCACGTTGGAATGTCGTACCAAAAAGTGTCAACGCTTTGTTCTTTTTAGTTGTGGGAGATATACCCGTTGTGTGACACAACACAAGCAACGAAGGAAATTGCACCAAGACCCACATGTCATATCATCATGCTCATAGATTTGCCACATCAGCAATCATGCTAATTAATGAAGGAGGAAGTATCATAAATATATGCTAATTAAGGTTTCGTTTGGCACAGCTCCTTCACCAACTTCAGGAGCTGTTTAGAGCTATTTTGTGTCAAGTGGGGTAAAATGAAACAGTTTCACCCGAGGAGCTCCTTAAAACATGCTCATAAGGGGTGGATAAGAGATGGAGCTTAAAATAGTAACTTCTCTCAACTCACATCCGCTCTGGTAAGCCCTATGTGGGATTCTATAAAAACATATTTTAAGGAGTTTTATATGTAGAGTTGTTTTGTCAAATGGCTTATCAAAATAGTTTTAGCTCCACCAAGCTTTAGGCAAAACAAATATCTTCAGTAGTAAAGTAGAGCTGTGTCAAAATGGGCCCAGTGGTGAAAGAGGAGGTGGACCGGCCACGGGCCTATATCCCTCACCTCCTTGCTTGGATTGGGCGATTGGTGGAGGAGTAGCGGTGGAGAGGCGAATGGTTGGTGCCTGTGGCGAAGGACAGGCAATGGAGGGATTTAGGAGAGGCAAGAGAGAGAAACAAATAGGGAGGGGAGAGAAAATAAAGAACTAGCCCAGAAACAAGTGGGCTCGGCTCCATATTATGGATGAGGTACTAGTGACATACAAAAATTACCCCGAATACAAATAATCCAAAAAGGTGTATTAGATCACTCCCAATATCACCTTTTAGGGAGAGAATGCTCAATCCACTTAGCTTTCTGGTATGGTGGTCTCCTCATCATATATATCAACATAATTCCCTTGACGTCTCTTGAGCTGTATTTACAGTTACAACCTCTAGTACATGAGTGTGTTCTACGACATGCAAAAGAAAATCGATTTGTCCCCTTGCTGCTTTAAACCCCGTAAGGCACATGTCTTTCAAAATAATTATATTTATATTGCTAAGTGTCATGCCTGCGAGGACCAATATCAATCAACTAACCACAATTGTAGCTAGTAACTGGAACAGCAAAAGGCATAGGGTCACTGGTGTATGTAATAGGTGTTCAAAATACCAGTTTATACTCTACTGAAACATGGGATATGCATACATGTCATCACAATTCCGCAAGATCTGGACACAAACCACAGAGCTAAAGAGCAAATCACCTGCAAACCCCCTTCAGGATCCAATCGAAGTGTCGTACCGGTCGGTGCCAGGGGCATCAGGCGGGGGTGGTAAAAAACAAAGGCTAACATGAGAGACATTTCTACGGTTTATATAGCATTTTGCTGGTGCGGTCCGCGTGTGTTCATGCAACCACGCGAGATTCTTCCTAGCTAAGGGCTGCTATCTACAAAGAACCAAATCATTTACACGGTGTGTGGCTCACGCAAGCACACGCGCTTGTCCCTAGTTAAGGGCTGCGGGCTATCCAGAAGGAACCGAAACAATTACACGGCGCGTGGCTCACGTCTGTGTACATACCAGCTTCTTCCCAGTTTATCTTTGTGTTGTCAGTCTTCCAGATGGGTGTTCTTCGCCGCTGTTCTCCTGCCATGGAAGCTGCTCTACTAGCTCTCTTCCTTGAGCTATGCGTCGGCTGCCATGGATTCAAAAAGAGCTCCTACCAAATAAAGGCGGCGTTTTCCTTCGCTACTTTCTCCCAGCTCGATCTGCTGGCGCCCAAAGTCGATTCGTTGGATTGCATACCTCTCTGCAATCCCACGGATCTCCAACACAGCTTTCGAGCAGAGCAGCAGACTCTACGTGTGCGTACCATCGCTGCCAAAATCCTGCTCGCCGCGGAGGGGGATTTCACAGGCGTCCTCCTGGCGCTCGTACGTCTACACCGTGATGAGGACATGCCACCGGTTACTCAAGTTTCACATATGTATGAAGGTCTAATAACGCGTAGCCGTGCAAAATTACTCCAAAAAGAGGTGAACTCACTCTTAGCTGAAATTAACTTTGACATATTTGAGAATGTTATACTACCTAAGCATTCTATTTTGGTTGTACTTAGGCATACAAATAAAGAGGAGGATGTTACTCTACATCGGACCAGCACTGAGAAAAACGGACAACAGTTCGGACCATCGAAAAATGACAGATCGGACCAGTACAGTGAAAAATAGACCAGCTGAAAGAAACATTCATAACTCTCGACTCCATGAAGCTTTTTTGATCGAATCAGCAGGGAGTCCCCTACCTATTTTTTTTTGTTTTTCTATTAAATGAAAGAATGGTATTTACAGAGTTTTTATAAATAAATACAAGGCTTCCAAGCCCAAAAAGAAAAAGATGATCCTATATAATGAAACTCTCTCTCCAAGAAGTTAAAAGAGCTTGTCTGCTAGGTTTGGCCTTAGTGTAAACTTGACCAAGTTCTTCACTGAAACCTCTTTTCCACCTGTTGATGTCAACTTGAGCATTATAAAAAATGACTGCATTCCTGGACGTCCAGATTATCCAGCAAGCTGTTATAAATATCTCTCTGAATATTAGGCTTCCAAAATTGGATCTAGCATCAATGATCATATCTAATGGTGGAAGATTCAGGTTCCATTGGACAGGGATGGTATTCCAACAGCTCTGACAGAAGCTACATTCAAAAAAGAGATGGAAGCTTGTCTCCTCATGCCCCCATTACACAGAACACAGTTATAGTCATCAAGCTCCATGTTCTTTCTTCTCAATAAGTTCCTTGTGTTTAATCTGTCTCTGATCAGCAACCAAAAGAAGAATTTGTGCTTGACTAAAGAGCATGAAGCCCAAAGCCAAGAGAAGAGAGGGGAGGCTTCTGAGTTACCAATTAGTAGCTTGTAGACCTTTTTACTGATGTATCTTGAGTTACCCCAAGAGTATGACCAAATGTCTTGTATATTTTCATCCAAGTTTCTGTCTTCTAGGATTTCTTCAATTTCCTCTAGCTGTCCTGCAGCTTGTTGAGAGAGAGGTAGTCTGAATATCCTGTCAGCTTCTTGATCAAGGGAGTACCTTATGGAACATTTTGGTTTTCTAGTGAATGAAAACAACTGTGGATAGTTATCTTTCAGGTTTTGTCCAGCCCACATGTCTGTCCAGAAGGCAATAGAATTGCCTCTGCTGGGATTGCATACTGAGAAGCTTTGGAAACTATCAAAGAGTTTGAGAATGTCTTTCCACCAAAAGGAACCAACTGGGCTTCTGAGGTGTGGTGGAATTTGGGAGTTGGAATATAATCTGTCCCAAGTCAAAGATACCCATGGCAAATCTGCTTTATTATAGAACTTATCCAAATGTTTCATCAAAAGTGCATTATTTTGACTCTCAATGTCAATGATACCTAGACCACCCTGGTCTTTGGGTTTACAGGCTGTCTCCCAAGCAGCTAAACATTTGCCTTTTCTATTGATGTCCCGTTTACTCCATAAGCAATGCTTCCTGTAGATATCTATCTGTTTGATGACCTGTGGAGGGATTTTCAAGCTACACATGTAAAAGGTGGGAAGGGCAGAAAGCACAGAGTTTACCATTATCAACCTGCCATTGTAGGATAAGAATTTACTGATACCATTCAATCTCCTTTCTATTCTTGTGAGCAATGGAGTGAATTCCTGCAGAGTAGGCTTAGTGGTTCCAAGGGGAAGACCAAGATAGGTAAAAGGCATGCTTCCTATTTTGCAACCAAAAGTGTTGGCCAAATGTAAACTTCTTGAGTCATCAATATTGATAGGAACCAAGAAAGACTTACTAAAGTTCACATGCAGTCCAGTGGAATCTGAGAAAGACCTTAAGAGGCATTTCAGATTAAAGAGCATTCTAGCATCCCCAGGTAAAATCAGGATAGTGTTATCTGCATATTGGACTATTGGGTAGAACTCTCCAAAATTATCACTGAGAGGGTGTTTCAAAATACCATTGTGCCAAGCTTTATTAATTACAGATTGGAGTAAATCAGTTGCTAAGACAAAGAGGAGAAGGGATAGGGGATCACCTTGTCTTACCCCCCTCTTACACTCAAATGGTTTCCCAGGAATACCATTGAGGATGACTGAGGAGGTGCCTGTGCTCAAAATGTTGTGTATCCAGTTAACCCACTTGTCAGAGAAGCCCTTGTGTTTGAGCACCTCCAAAATGACAGGGTGTTCCAATTTATCAAAAGCTTTTTCAAAATCCAGCTTCAGGATCACAACCTCTTTTTTGGAGTGGTGGCAGAGGTGAAGGAACTGAAAAGCCCAGACCAGACAGTCTTGGATTGTTCTTCCTTTTATGAATCCATATTGGTTTGGGTGAACCAAGTCAAGAATGACTTACTGTAGTCTAGCTGATAGAAGCTTTGTAATACAATTTAGTGAATAGTTCAGTAATGAGATGGGCCTATAATCATCTACATTCTCTGGATTGTCCTTTTTAGGAATCAGGGCTATAACAGAAGAATTGATGCTCTTCAGGTCAATATTGTGATTGCAAAACTCTCTGAGCATCCTTGTGAAGTCATCTTTAATAATGTGCCAGCATTTTTTGATGAAGAAGCCATTGAAACCATCAGGCCCAGGGGCATGACTATTGGGCAAATTTTTGATCACCAAGTCAATATCCTCTTGGGAAAAATCTTCATCTAGCTGGCTCAGATTGTGTTGTACCAGTAAGTTGCTCAAATCATATGATATACTATGGAATTCACTAATACCAAGCCTTTGTTTGAAAGCTGACCAGAGTAGACTTGCCTTCTGATCATGATCAGTAACAAGGGGTACCATCTGAGCTAGAAAGGCTAACAATAAAGTTTCTCTTGTGAGCTACTGTTGCCATGATGTGGAAGAAGTGACTATTTTCATCTCCTAATTTAATCCATCTTACTGTATTCCTCTGCCTCCAATAAATTCTTTTGGATTCCAACAGATTATCAAGGTGAGACTTGACTAAGCTTCTGAATGATGTTTCAAGGCCTGACAGGGTTCTTTGGTCTTCTAAGCCGTCTAACAATGAAAGTACCCAATTACAGTTGAAAATTAATTTACTCACATTTGACAGCTTCTTGCTCCAGCTTCTGAGTCCAGCTCTAACTTGTTTCAATTTTGTTGACAGGTTCCTAGCTGCATTGGCAAAATAAGGTGAACTATTCTAGTGGAGTTCAACAGTTTCCAAGAAACCAGGGTGATCAACCCAGTAATTCTCAAACCTAAACATGTTGGATTTGGGTATGCTACTTCTAATGATGACTGCATAGGGAATATGATCGGACACTGGTTTGGAGAGAGGTTGGACAAAAGTAGTAGGGAAGGACATAGCCCAGCTAGATGATGTAAAGACCCAATCAAGCTTGATCAGAAGAGGGTCAGCCTGCATATTGCTCCAAGAAAAGCTTCTGCCACTAAAAGGAATGTCAGTGAGATCCAAATCTGTGATGAGCTCATTGAACATGTTCATTTCACCAAAATCCCCTCCTGGCTTATTCCTATTCTCAGGGTGCCTGATCAAGTTGAAATCACCTCCAATGATCCAATCTTCAAACTCAGTGGTGTCAAGGTTGATAAGCCAGGTGACAAAGCCTAGTTTTTCAGGGGAGTGGGATGGGCCATAAATATTGGTGACATGAAAACTATTATTATCTAGCCTGCTCAACATTTTCACTGTAACTGCATAAGAGTTGGCTTGCACTAGAGTACCATCAAATAAGCTGTTGTTCCACACAGTTAGGAGACCACCAGAAGCACCAACCGAGGGAAAGAAAGCAAATCTATCCAGGCTTCTTGGGCAAAATTTCTTGATGTAAAACTGATCAAAAGATTCCCTTTTTGTTTCTTGTATGCAAACAATTTGGCATGCACTCTCATCAATTTTACCCCTGATTACATCCCACTTCTCTTGTGAATTAATGCCTCTAACTTTCCAGAACAAAATTTTTGTGTGTCTATTATTTTCCATGAACACAGTGTGGGTTAGTATGTGGGTGTTTGATCATCCAAATGTCAAACAAAACACATTGATGCCTGAACTTTCCACTCAGATTACAGATCCAGGCATTATCAAAGTATAACATGATATGCTTCTACAGAAAAAGATTGCTTAGGATTAGAATCTGATCATGAGCCATCTCAAACAAAAAACATAGATCTCTGGATTTTCTATTCAGTTTACAGATCCAGGTCTTATCAAGATAAAATATGATATGCATCAACAGAAAAAGATTGCTGGGAAGTATAATCTGATCATGAGCCCAAGCACAAGCAACAGAATAAAAATTGAATTGTAGAAAGGGATGGCTAAAAATAAAGAGAGAGAGCCAACAACACAAATAACTGATAACCGATGATAACTTAAAGCAAGAGGTTAAACAGGGGCTCCAGACGGTGCTCAGACACCAAATACAGCATTTCAGGTTTTTATTGTTCCAGTACACAGACTGGTCATAGGAGCTACTAACAAAAGATAAATAGTGTACCCAACATGGGACTGGTACACTGGTGAGCATAACTTGTTTTGCAGTATCCATCCAAGTTGTCTTTCTTCAAAAGGGCAGCCAAGACAGTCTCCGGCTGGATCTTCAGGAAGCCTGTGGCTATGCCCTCAATGATTTTCTTTGAGAGATGAGGGGCAACTTGGCTCCCAGGAGAGGGGGGATGACTGCTAAAGGCATAGGCTCATCAACTTCTTCTGTGGCTTCTTCAGCAGCTTCTTCAACAATTTTCTTGCCCTTCCTAGCGCTCTCTGCATCCTTGTACCCATCAAATTTCTTGGACAGCCTCTTGCTACGCCTGAGGAAGCTGTCATCTATTCTTTCCTTAAACTTGATGGCCCTCTTATTGCATGGGGTCATGAAAACAGCAGGGGCTTCATCAAGGACCTCCAAATCTGCTTCTTCCTCATCCTCCTCACCATAGTCAAGAGCAATCTTTTCTAGGGCCTTATCACCAAGCTGTGGATAGAGCACAAAGGCCAAGTGAACCAAGAGAGGATCATCATTAAAATATGGTGGAATAACAGTATCATGATCAATGTCTAGCATGGATAGAAAACTGAAATGATTGGAAGAAGGGCAATTAGATATGTAAGTGAATACCTTTTGCAGGAGGGATGGAACCACAGTAATAATAGGATCATGTGGCTTGGAAGGACCATAGATGACTGACTTCAGATGTGGCTTTGGGACAGGCACGGAGCTGAAGACAGGGAACTTTTCTGTAGCTTGCTGAGCAACTCCAGGATTGATCACATTCTGAACGATGTTCTGAACTACCACTGTCTCAGTCTGAACTTCCTGAACCACAGCAACCGGGGCCTCATGTTCAGCATCTGGGGCCTCCGGTTCCTCCCAACGACTTGGGCCACCCCCACCATCAACAAGTCCAGCACCATCAACGTTCATGGCAGAGCCTACATTGGACTCTGCAGGTGTCTCATCACTAGCAGCAGGAGGGACCGGTCCAGACCAACGCGGGGGCTGGGGAGGAACAGGGTGCAGCGGCCCCTCAGTGACAAAAACTTCTTCATCTGGCAATTCTGCTATCCCTGATCTTTTCAGAACAAAACAGGGTAGGGTCCAGGATCTGCCTTTCTGTGGGAGACCAGCATTGATCTTGACTGAGTCGGGGATTTTGGCATCGTCATTGAGGTAAACCTTGGCTACAACTCGTGCAAGATTATTAGTGTCATGCCAGTGAACTAAAATACCAAACCCAGATACAGCTTTAGCGATAACAACAGCATTCTTCAGATCTTCCGGGAACCCAACAAGCATAACCCAGGCTTCACGATCTAAATCAAACGACCTGGCATTCTCTACTTCATCATGCTTGACGACTGACACTGAGTAATTTCCAAAGCGAAAGACAGGCCCCAGAAAGCGTTCCCTCTCAAGTGGACTCTTGAAACCGATGTAGGCTTCGCCTAGAGGACAGGGTTGGATCTCCATGAGTCTCACCTGATGGATTTCTTGAAAGAAGGAGCGCAGTGCTGTCTCTAGGCTCTTGAAGTCGTCCTTGTGGACTGCAGGACGCAACTTGACGATCGCCAAGTCCTCGTTGTGCAGGGTGTAACCCCGTCACATAGACCTCGTGGCGGAGAGGTGGACGCTGCAACGGCTCAACGAGGGTGAAACCCTTGGGAACATGGGGGCGCGGGGATCGCAGGCCCAGTTTGCCATAGCTGAAGAGTTGAGGTTTTTCACTGTTGGTGTGGCAGGGAGGGGAGGCGGGGTGGCGACGGAGGCGTCAAGAAGTTGCTCTACAGACTTAAAAGAGGATGGGGTCGCCCCTTCACCTTCCGGGATGGAAACGGGCCGAAATTTCAGCGTGTGGCGAGATTTGGAAAGACAGGAGACAGACATATGGCCATAGTTATAGCAGGTCCTGCATCTTACCAAATTTCCACATTCTTTCCTGGAATGGCCAGGGCCCAAACACCTGGAGCAAAGGGGAGGCAGCTTCAACGGCTCAGCGGATGGGCCGTACGAGCCAGAGGGCCTCACATGCAGGCCTTGATGATTTAAATTCAAATTCGCAACTGATTTGGGCAATAAGGGTGGCACAGAATCCGCCTGAGCAGGCGGCCCTTTAACTGCAGGAGAAATTTTGGGAATCCAACGAAGAACACGCTTGCTCGAATTCAAAAATGGCTTGGGACAAGAAGGCTTGGAATCTTCAGCTGGAGGCTGATACTTACCAGGACGAGAGTTAGGATCCAATAAGTTCTGATAATTCCTGGGAAAATTCAGACGAAGAAAGACAGAACGCTTTGCAGAGGATTTCAAAGGGGGAGATGAACGAACAGCATCAGCATAGCTCTTTTTTGATTTAGAGTTAACTGTCGTCCATTCCGCCTCTTGCTCAGTGCACCAAATTGCATAATCCTTTTGCCAATAGGGCCACCACCACCCCAAAGACGGAAGAAAATGGCGAAAGATTTGCAAGAGAAGTGTTTAAGTCTGTGAATCATAAAACCCACTTTCTTGCAAGAAACGGAGAAATTGAACATCCAATCGGAGAGGTGGAAGACATTGAAATCTTTTGCTATGCCACCAAGGCAGGATTGGAGGATGAGTCCCACAGAATCCTCATTTAGACGAATAGCTGAGCGCCCAAAGCTAGCAACAAGGTGAAAAACTGAGCTTGAGAAGGGCACTGCCGGACTCACCGAGCAGTTGAATCGTTGACGTACCACAGACGCGAACTAGGCTCCCGGATCAAGGTTGAGATCCAAAAGCCCACCCATGGCGAAGGGGAATTAGCAGCAGGCGCCAAGGAACAAGGAGGCCGGTGCGGTGGGAGGAGACGGAGAGTGGGCGGGGGTGAATGACGACGAGGGCGAGGAAGAGACATCGCTCTGAGCAGCCGACGGCTGGGAGGCGACCAGCGGGGTTCAGAGGTGGATGCCGATGCCGGAGTGGCAGCCGGCGGATTAGCTAGTGGCTGGCAGCAGAGGAGGAGGCGCAGTGGGTATCGGTGTGCTGTATTCTAAATGGTAAACATGTAGCCTGCCGCGAAATTGTTCCTTCTCAAGGCAATCGCGAAATTGTTGCCATGGGACATCCCAGTGCCTCTATTGCCCAATCAACAATTTTACTCCATGAAGCTTTGGAGATCCATGAGGACATTTTGGAAAGCTTATCAAGTCTAGTTTTCAATGGCACAAGTTCCAAGTATTTTGGACTTCACAATGTTGAGATATGAGCAGATTAGTGAAGACTGCTCTGAAGGTCAACAGTCTTCCCGAGATAGAATGGTGGTTCAACTTCCCGTGCAAAACTGTACCAATCTATAAAGTTTCGTGGTACATGCTGCAAATGACTTGCAAGATCTTCAAGTCTACTTTCACACCTAAGAAACGGTTCATCATTTGGACTTCTCAATAAATAGTTATGGTCAGATTAACGAAGACTGCTCAGGAGGTCAACAGTCATGCGAGATCACTTCGGGAATCCATCTCGTGGTGACATTTTACATAGCTTATCTTCCGAAACTCCATTTTGTTTTCACACCTGACTAAGAGGGTTATTCCTAGTATGAATATCCCCTGCCTCTAAGCTATTAGAAACCTTTTGATGATTTAATAAATTACATGATATTGCAGCTGAGCTGCCGAGTGCCTTACTCAAACCTTTGTTCTTCCTTGTTCTTCTTGGACCTGTGAAGTGACCCCTCTGGTTTTCCTAGTTCATGCTCTACGATTTTTAGTACGGCTGCACTGTTTTGTGTGGATTAGTTCCGGATTGTGGTTCTACGGTCGTTCGGAGATCGAGTCGAAGTCTTCGCAGTTTCGGTGCCTCTCTTCCGGTCGCTTGGTTGCATCCAACCTTGGACATGTATAAAGCTAGTTACCCGTTGTTTGCAGTAAGTTATCTTCGATTGTTCGACCTACTGTCGTAAAGATCGGGCCAACCCCTTGTCGATTCATATCTGTACTTATCAACTGGTATCAAAGCTTTCATTGTCACGGTAGGTCTCACCATCATCCACATATCTATCTTTGATTTATCCATCATTTGTTACTGTTTTTGTTTATCTCCTAAAGTCCACTAAAAAAGCCACAAAAAATCTTATAGTCTTTTGGCAGTACTGTTATCCTTGTGGTGTTGCGTTCATCAAGGTGCTAGTCACCATCTTCACCTATATTGCGTTGTGTTTCATTTGTTATCCACACCCCTGTTAGTAAAAAAAATAGAAAAAAAGCAGAGAAGAAAGAAGAAAGAAAGATTAAAAAAAGAGAAGTGCAAAGAAGTTGAAAGGGGTTGTGTTGCGGTTTGCTTGTTGAAAATTTTAGTTCTTCATACTCAAGTTTGTGGTGATTGAAATAATAGCAACTTCACATCTTTGAACAGAAAACATCACTTGGTTTATGGTACCTCCCTTGAATAGCCACCTATAGCTCCACCAAAATCTGAAACCGGGACGTTCGACTCGTAATCCTTGCGACCTCTCAATCACATCTGTTGAACTGCTGCACTAGCACACTCACTGTCCTTGAGAACAAGAAAGAGCATTGGTAAGTAAGAGGTGAGGTTGTGTGATTCCACAAATTTACCTATTCCACTTTTCTTGCATAAGTGCTAACATGTCAGGATCCAATTCGAGTGTTCGTGGTCGTCGACATTGAGAAGATGAAGAACCTATTTCGCGGGCTGAGTTGCGCCAACTACAAAACTCACTAGTGAAGGCCATGGAGAGGATGTTCAATGAACATCTTCCTATAGCGGGTAGTCGGTCTCCACAACAACATATCCGGACAGCATGGCGGAGGTGCTCGTGGGCGTAGTTTTCGCCCCCGTGTGCCCACTGATGATGAAGATTATTGTGTGTCCACCATAAGAAATTTTCAGCAAGAGACATGTGGAAGGTCCTATGGATAGCAAAATCCATGTGAGAAAGAGTGCCACCAACCAAAATTGAGTGTGAGAGTTCAAAATAAAAAGATGAGAGATTCCACCATATGTGAGACAGAGTGCCACCAACCAAAATTGAGTGCGAGAGTTCAAAATGAAAAGATGAGAGATTCCACCATATGTGAGGAGAGCCATAAAATTCTGTGTGAGAAAGATACACAAAAATTGAGCGAAAAAGAAGATGAATCATGTGAGGAATTATTTACTACTAATATGATAATACCTTCTTCTAGTCTTATTCTATGTGTGATGCAGGCTCATGAAGAAAATGATGTGGTGAATTATGACCAACCCCCAATATTCGATGAGGAAGATCAAGTGATGGCCATGGACAGAGATACGTATGCATATATTGCTTCACAAGATGTTGAAGTGATTGTGCATCAAAACCTATGCGACAATGAGAGCCACATAGCTAAATTGAGAGAGAGAGAGTGAAAACAAAAGAGAGTTGTGTGATTCCACCCACTATGACATTGAGAGTATCAATAATTCGAGTGTGAAGGATACACCATAGAAAAATAGCTAGTTAGAATGCAAGTCATGTGAGGATATTTTTAAAACTAACACTCTCATCTCTACTTCTAGTGTTGTCTTTCCAAATGTGCAGGTTTGTAATGAGAATAAGAAAGAGACGGTTGCTCATGACAACTCCATACTTGTTGAGAGAAGTGAGAAGGTAGCCATTCATCCGAACCAATTGTGTGCTAGCCAAGACATGAACCATGACGAGGAAAGTGTTAAGATTTCAGAAGCGTCAACCATGATACTTGCACTACCACAAAGTCTATAAGGTAATGAAAATAATTCAGATCTGAGTTTGAAAGATAAAATTGTGAGTAATTGTGATAAAACACATGGATCAAATGGAGTTGACCGTATACAAAATGTTTGTGCTGATTTGATTATTTCACATGTTCACCCGTGTGCTGAAATTTTACAAGTTGATAACCAATGTTCAATTATACATGATCTTTTCTATGCTTTGATATGGTTCATATACATCATACTTTGCACTCATATATCTGATACCTTGCATGCAAATAAATTTGATAATGTGAAGATAAATACTAATGACGAATTCTTTGCAAAAATATCTCATCCTTCATGTGTGGGCTATGTCATGTTTGATAAATGTGTTGAGATCAATAAGATACTTGAGAATGTTTTTCGAATATCATCCATGAAATCTTTGAATACTACCTATAGTTGCAAGTTTACATTCAATTTGATTGGACATCATGCTGCAAGTAAATTCTATGTTTGTGCTATTTGCATAACTTGTGACAAGCTTGCTGGTTTGGAGATAAATAGACTTTGCAACAGATCTTGTGAGCCATATTTTTCTGAATTTGAGATGAAAAGATTGTTTACTGATTTCTATACAGAACAAAAAATGTTGTTTCCTTTTTCCAATGTTCTATCAAAAGAAAGAAATCTTGTGCAAACATGTTTCATTCATTCACTCAAACTTTTTTCATCGTCATCTAGAACCATGAGTTTGATAGGTACTTCTCTGACCCATGCAAGATGAATGTTAAGCATGTTTCATTCTTATCCTTTGATATATGTGACCTTGCAAAGCTGAAATATGATAACATGAATCAAATGATTGGGTTGGAAGAAATTTTTGTGCTCCCATCTTCTAAGCTATTTGCAGGATCACCAAAGTTGAGAGAATGCTTCTTACTTGAAAAAGAAAATAATATGAATATAAATTGTAAAGAAGCAAATAGACGAAATGAAATAAAAGATTATTGGAATTATCATGTACATCTACCCTCTATGTTTGCCTAGACTATTTTTAGGTAAACATGACTTTTCATAAAGGGAGGGAGGAGAATGAGACCGTGCTAAGGCAATCAACATTCACCATTTGTTCTAAGCATCCATTCAAGGTGAAAGCTAAACTTGATTCCAAATCGTTTAGGTTTCCACCTACAAGGCTACTACTTGGTTTATATGATTATAGATTGAAGCATCTCGCTGTGATGAAAGAAGAAGATCGTGATGTTATCACAACACTACAAGTCGATGGCCTAACTGTTGATGTTTTACCACCGATAGCCTGCCACGGGGTTACCCGGGGCAGTATGTTCGGGCTTCAGCGTATGCGGAACTCGACGGTGAACGCAAGAGACAGTCGATTTATCCTGGTTCAGGCCCTCGACTGTAGTCGAGTAATAGCCCTACGTCCAGTCGGTGTTAGCCTTTGCGTTGGATTGATTGTGTGTTGTTGTGTTGTATCATCGTGCCCCTCTAGGAACCCTGCCCTCCTTTATATAGTCAGGAGATCAGAGTCCTAGTCGGTTTACAATGAGA